TACAGGAGATCAGTTTGGGTGCATCAGAGTGAAGATTCGATTATATTTCTTGTAAATGCTCGTATTTGATGAAACTGATCGTAAACTATTTTACAGAGTTTGTTGCGGCCGATATTGGAAGTCAAGATTCAATCACACGAATGTTGTTGATTACCGACTTCCATGCGTACGGCTCACTGTACGAATATTTGCAACGTGGCGCAACGCTCTCCGTCAGTGAGGCGCTCAGTCTGGCGCACAGGTTCATTGGATTGTTCTAAATTTAAGCATTCTTCATGGCCTGAATATGTGTGAGGGTAACAGTCAGTTATTTCAGTGCTGTTTGCGGTCTTGAGCATCTTCATAGTGCCTTACGTGGTACGGGTACCCCTCAGAAGCCAGCCATAGCGCATAGAGACGTGAAATCGAAGAACATTATTGTGAAACGTGAAGGTGTTTGTTGTATCGCAGATTTTGGTCTAGCACTCAGGTTAGCCATTTCTGTTCTGTTTGATTTGTTTATCCCGTTCATATTCGCTCATTGATGTACTCAATGATGCGTTTGTATTTTCAGCGAGGACATGCTAAAAACGAAACCGAATATCAACATTCAAGTCGGCACAAAACGTTACATGGCACCCGAAGTGCTTGATAAATCGTTGAATGCCAAAAACTTTTACCACTTCAAAATGGCTGACATCTATTCATTTTCACTTGTTCTTTGGGAAATCCTTCGGCGTATTCAGGTTCGCTTATTTTCGTTTTGCTGAATTGTATACACTCGTGTTCACCACTTTTATTTACATCTCACAAAGAGCTACCAAAGCATACTTTCGAACGAACAATGATTTAGCATCGGAATAACCTCAAATGCACTCTACCTCAAAAGCTCAGTTTGTTCAGCATTTATAATAGGGCTTGAAAGCAGAGGTTTTTGTTGGATGTTAAAAGCCAGGTATTTAGTGAATAATTCAGGAGAACTCGCCGATGCTACGAATATCAGAAAGTGATAGTGGTATCGGAAGTAGTGGAAGCGGTAGTGGAAGTGGTAACGGGAATGGCACTAAGTATGCGGCGAATGCGCGTAACGGCTCGACAACATGTGCATCTCTGTCATCTGCACTTCGACGTAATGCCTCGTCGGGTGTTGCTGATCAACGAAGAGCCATCGATAGCGATGTGTCAGGCATCTCATCCGCTAAGTCTGCGGTTTCAGTTGTAGCCAGACCACCGGTGCAACCTTTCGAAGATTTGGTCGATTCGGATCCGTCCTTCGATCAAATGCGACATATTGTCTGTTTGCGTAAAGAACGACCCTTGTTGGAGGAGTCGTGGAGGAAAGATGCGTATTTGAAGGATATTTGTGAGTTGATGACCGAGTGTTGGAGTGATAACATCAACTGTCGACATACTGCTTTGCGCATCAAACGAAAAATTTTCGATGTCTTAAAGAAGCATCAGGAAATGCTGAGTCGTTCACCAACCACATCAACGTTTCGCTGTGATTCTATTATGACATCCGCACAGCAGCCAAATACCGCTCCTTTCACTATTCAAATGGATCGTTCGCACTAGTATCTATTCAATGCCCTTTTATCAATCATCCGCGCCTGAGCTCAATAAAAGCTCGGTTTTTATACACGCAAGCCACGCCTTTATCGTTTCCTTCAGGCTTCAGTCAAAGTTTTGGCCTAGGCTTACGTCTGCTATTGAGCAAAGGTTGATGATTATCAAGAATCGACGATCGCAGCAGCTATTTTTTGACATCAGCGCTGATGCGCTACCTTTTCTGTTGGTTTCTCATAGCAGTAATGATAATGGACTGAAGCTGCGTTGGCAGCAATTAAAGTTCCGATGTATTTTCCGCTTCTGTGCTATTTCGGCGATGGCTTCGTCACTCCCAGATTGAATGTTCATTTCGGTTACCATCACTGTATTGTATTTCTCAAATGTGTGCACATATATCACTA